CAATGTTTTATATGCTTTTTCTGGGTTGTTTAAACCTTTAACATTTAATGTAGCAATTTTGATTTTGCTAATCATTAAAATAAAATTAGAGATAAAAATTAGGTTTTTAGTAGTGTCTGTATGCTTTTGAGTTTAGTCCAGATCCTGACTATATTTTGATTCCTTTTTCTGCGTTAGCTTTGATGCGATTTTTAGATTTTCTCTTTGAAGTAACTACTATAAATCCATCTATTCACTCAGTTTGAGGGTTAACTTTTGGTGACATTGTGCTATTGCTAGAGGGTCTACTGCTATATTATCTTGGCCTATAGTGTTTTTCATTTCACTTTGATTACTTTCTAGAGGCTGGTTATTATCTATGCTAGCAGAGCTTGACAATATTTTCATTTCAGAGGTAGTTGGCTCCATCTTGATGTCTTGGATCACTTCTGTATTAGTTGGTTCAGTTATTACTGTTTCAACTATCATAGTATCTTCAGCCTTCTCATTATATAGGTTGTTTGGGCTTAGTTCTAGAGGTCTTATGCTTTGTTGCCAAGTTTGTTTCTTTTCTTGTAATTTAGCAAGTTTGAGAAGTTTTTGTAATTCTCTAGCTTCGACAGAAGCTTTGTATTCTGGACATTCTTTCTTGACATGTTCTGTTTTATCACAAAAAAAGCAGAGTTTAGGTGCTTCTTTCCAGTTGGTTATCACTTTGTGGTCTCAGATATGGGTCATCTGTTGTTTCAAAGATGACTACCCATTGGTCTGAGAGAACTGAGGTTCTCTTGTATACCAGTGGTTTGATTAATGAGATAGTGCCAGTATTTCAAAAGGCTTCTTTAATTTTTTCTAAAATATATTCTTTCTTGTCTATAGGAGTATTTTGGAATCTAACTGATAAAAAGCTTCATCTAATATTCACTGAAATATAACCTTGAAGGGTTTGATTATGAATTGTAAGACCTTCTGCTATAAGACCTTCTGCTGCATAAAATTGTTGTTTCTCTTCGTTAGAAAAAATTACTTCTATATGTGTTCTTCTATTTTTTGTAATTACTAGTTTTGCCGCTATGAGATCTTCATCCATTTTGGCTGCCATTGCTTCTACCATATCTGCTGTAGAGATATTTTCTAAATTGTGAAGTCGCTCTGCCCTTTCTAATTTAGCAAATAATTTTGATCACTGTTTAAGTTCCGGCTGGCTATCAGTACTACTTAATTGGTGATTTACATGTTTGTTTTTATAATCACCTGATTTCAATGTTCTGTTTGTTTTGGCGGGTCTTAACACATATTAATTGTTGTTTTGCTATGTTGCCAAGTTTGTTTCTTTTCTTGTAATTTAGCAAGTTTGAGAAGGTTTTGTAATTATCTAGCTTCGACAGAAGCTTTGTATTCTGGGCATTT